GTGAGAGGGGCCGCGCGGCCAACCCTTGTGGTAAGCGTTGCCTCGTCTCTGAAGCGCAGCCGGCAGTAAGCGCAGCGAGCCGGTAATTGCCTAACGCTGCATGTTTTGATACGGAATAATTTAATCGGGAGGCCCTGTCGGTTAGGGGAGCGTTCTGAAAAGCTGCATGCGGCAGGAACATCCTTTAAAACTCTGCTTGGAAAGTCTCCCACAGCCCCTTCCGGGAGAAAATACTTTGTTCTAGGTTTCTTTCTGCTTTTTCCAGGAAGTTGCCGTGTTTCCTGTGTCGGGGACTGGAAGATTTGGAGGAGGGGGGCTGGATTTGCTGGACGTGCCCGCTCTCCCTGCGCTGTCCGCCCCGGGTGGCTCCTGCCGAGCCTCCCCCCTCCCAGCGCGGAGCTCTCCGGCGGGATGAGCCGCCGGCGGGGCTCAGTGCCTGCCGGGGCAGCCATCACGGGGTGTGCGCAGGCCCGTGCGGTGCCGGTGGCAGGTCACCTCGGCTTCCCCAGGGCTGCGCTCGGCCTCTTGCAGCCTGCGCGGCGAAGGTCTCGCGGTGGGGGGTGCGTCCTGTTTGGCAGCTCCGACGGACCTGCCCGCTAGGAGTTTTCCTTGTGTTTTTTTGGCCCGTATATGCTCTGGGCCTCTGCGCCGTCCCGTGGCCACGGTTTAATTCAGCGCTTCTGCTTTTGTTCATGTTGAAGCTGCCTCCAGCCCTAGCGGCCTCCTCAGCAGAGGGGGAAGGCCTTTCCGTGGCAGCAGGCAAAAGGCTGCGCTCAGATGCAATAGCTTTACAGCTGGTAGGTACAGGTTTGGGAAACTGGGGTGACAGGGGAAAATGGGCCAGCGGCCGAGCAGCGGGCCGAGGCACAGCACACGGGCACCTTCCTGCCCTTCGCGTTCCTGTCTACCCTCACAGGCAACGTGGGCTGCGCCGGTAAAAGAAGGGCTGGCTCCCTAAAACCTGCTTCTCTCCTCGAGCGTGCTCCTGTTTGTTTCCCCGTCTGTCCCTACGTGCATGGCTGCTGGGCTAACATGGCTCCGTGTGCTGCGTGGCACTGGGTTCGGTCGGCCTCATGCAAAGGTTGTGGTTTGAAGAGGGTTTCCGGCAGCCGAAATGAACCCCGGGGCTGGGGAGCAGGCCAGGCCCTGTGTCGAGGGCTCTGCTCCATGATACAGTGCTGCGACCACGGGATGGTCCGGGAGAAGACGGCTAGCTCGGCCTCCATCGTGCCCCATGTGCAGAGGGCCTTCTCTAGAAAACGCCTGGCGCTGGGGAAGGGTCCTGGCCTGTGTGTGCAGGGGGAGCCGTGAGGCACCTGCCCGCAGAGCCCGAATCTGCAGTGTGCGGCCCACGGCCACAGGAGAGCGTTTGGGTGTCAGACCCAGAGCCTTTTCCAGCTCCTCTCTGCTTCCTGGTGTGCCTGCCCTGGGCTCCTGGCAGCAGCCAGCAGGCTGAGCCTGGGATCAGGCTGCGTTTGGGGCAGAGCTTGCCGCAGGGGAGGCAAAGCAGAAACCTGGGGAAAGCCAGGGCTGCAGGTGGCTGACGGGCGGAGAAGGCAGCTGAGGGCCTGCTGCTGCCTGTGGCTCGGGGAAAGCACCGGGGACCGGGGCAGCGTCTGGGGTGGTGCGCGTCAGTGCCGGGAACGTGGCTTGCGTCCGGGTTGGTAGGGCCTGGCAGCAGCGATGGTGCTGAGGGATGGCTTGTGTGCACAGGGTGGGCCAGGGAAGGGTGAGGGCTGCACCAGGGCAGATCCCAGCCCGCGGGGTGGCAGTGGCTCCTCCGAGGCGGCGCTGCCTTTCCCAGTGGGGAGCCTCCGATCAGTGCGCAGGAGGGGAGGCTGCGGGGTTGGGCGGGAGGCCCTGCTTCGCACCTTGGCTTCGCACCTCAGCTCTGCGCCTGCCTCACGGGCTCTTCTCCTTGCTCCGCGCTGCCATCACCGCAGGCTCTCTGCCGTGCTGCTCCCCGGGAGGCCCCAGCGGTGGGGCTTGGCAGCAGCCCACAAGCCGGCCGTGAGGCCCTGGGCTGGTTGCCAGCACCCTCGGGTCCTAATTGTGCTCCTGCTGGGGGATGCTAGCCCTGCTGCAGCTTCCCTGCTGCTGGGGCTCTCCCGAGAGGCCCCACTATGGCAATGCCCCATCCCCGTGTCCCCCAGGCCCTGCTAACTCGTGTGCACGTCCCTTGTGGTTACCTTGCCTCGTCCTAGCAGCTTGCCCAGGAGAGGGCTGAGGACGGAGAGCAGGGCTGGGGACCAGGGTGTGCAGAGGGGTCGGGTGACCCCTCCTGCCATACTGCAGGTCTGCCCTGGCGCGGTGGCCAGGCCGGTAAGGGCAGGACGATCTGGCACGGCCAGGGCTCTCTGTGACCCCTGTCCGTGTTCCCAGCAGCTAGCTCTGGCCTGGCTCCAGGTGTCGTGTGTGAGATAAGGGGAGCTGGCTCCCGGCAGCTCTCTGGGGCACGGCGTCCTGGGGGGAACTGCCAGCCAGAGGAGAGAGGACCCAAGCCGCGGGCCGTAAGTCAGACCCCCTCAGGCGTAGCGGGACCCCTCGGCCGCTCCTCTCCCCAGCTCTGCCGGAACGTGCTCCCTTTTGGCGCAGCGGCGCCTCACAGCTGCTCGCTCCTCTCAGCGCCCCTGCAAGA